CATTGTGGGAAAATTCTACTACCAGTCCTTCATCACTTTAAACGAAATAGGGTGAATACATCTCATATAACCGATTTACTGTTGGTCTCAAGACTTTACTTATATACGAAAATAGTAAATATAAAAATCCTTTTTAACTATCCGTACGGGTTTTTATTTCAGTGCATTTTATCAAACTATAAAATGATGCTAACTTATAGTATAATCAAATTTAATATTGAAATTCAAAATATGCCTACGTTTCAAGCTTCCTTTATAGCATAAAACCATTATTAAAACAGGCGAAATGAGATTAACTGATTATCCTCTTATTGTAGATTGCTCATTTATGTTCACCAAGTTTAATTATTTAAGATACTTAAGCGAGTGAATAATAATCCTTATTTGCCAATTATTTTTATCCTACTTCATTTTAATGTATATATAACCAAAAGTCGTGTTGCCAATTCTATCTTGTGGCTCTGGGTAAGATAATTGTTGGATGCCTATGCTTTCGAGCGTCGTCTAGGTTCACTATATCCTCCCTGGATGAGATATCAAATGCCTTAGTTTATTCTAGGTTAATAACCTCAAAACCTTTGTTCTGTGGTTATCCTCAGTTGCTTATGCACCATGTCCTCTGACCAAGGCGAGTCATCGTGTCTATGCGATAATCTGGAAATATTAAAGTTACTTTCTTAAGTTTATCTTATATAATCTGATTCTACTTATAATCTGAAAGAAATTCAAATATTTGAAATTATAGATATCTTATAAATAGTAAAAAAACCACTTTAAGAACAAATATCATATCAAACTGGTCTCCTATGCTTAAGCTACCAATACTTTACTAATACTTCCTCATTTTACTCGATTGTTGACTTATTTATGCCTAAATGATCGATTTACTCGTTATTTAATATTATCTATCAAAAATAATATATAGGCATTGCTTGCCCCTATTAGTAAACAAACTAATCAGGCTATCACTTGGTCGCAACTATGAGGAAGCTAATTTTTGTAGAGATACACTTTTCTGTCTAGATATTCTTGGACTAATAGATATTTTCTTGCGATAAGTTGAAGGAAAATTTATTTAATTCTTATACTAGAGGATATTATATCCTGATTTATTTGTTTACATCTCCTTTATTCCATTCTTGAGCAACCTATTTTGTTTTGAATTTTAAGTATACACTATATGGGTATATGATTCTTTTAATTGATAGATTGTGCTTAATACTAATCATAAGCTTAATTATTTCTTTTCAGATAAACTTGATTGGTGCTTCCATCCATGATATCCTCAAGTCAGTTGGTCCTTCCCCTACCTCATATTCACCACATTCATCATTGGAATGTGACTATGCTATGCCGGATCCTGTGTGCTTCAATGAAGATAGAGGCTTTCTAACATCCCCTGACCCGTATTTGCCCTCATCAACTGCACTGCCATCTCTGCAGATCCCCTCAGTTTGTAAGCGCTCTTACAACCTCCTTTTATCCAATCCGACGGCATCACGTGGCTTTGGTTTACCCAGTGGGGAGCAAATGATTCGGTTGTACGTTTTCTCTGCCTTTTCCAGCCATACTGCACTGTCTGAAGAGGCGGAAGAACAAGCCTCCACCGAGTCATGGGAGTCTGCTCGGCATCAAACCAACTTTATTCCATCCAAAGTCCAAGTTGGCTCACTTTCACCTGGGGCTGATTCTCAAAACTTAGCAGCCGCAGGTAGCGAAGAGCTAAGAGAAGATGTGTGCTTTGTAGAGACTGAGTCATCTGTCCCTGATGAGCGCTCTTCACGAGGCGGATCATATCTTGCAGAAAAAGTAAGCAAGCCATTGTCGTGTGCAGGACAGCCCAGAGTAGTACAAAAGCCTTTGGCTATGCTTTGGTCGCCTATACTCTACCGAATAACAGCCAATCGAGCTGCCGATAGAGATGGATTATATGCAACCCCTGATATGAGCCCTACATGGGCCACAGCTGGCTGCCGGCGGACATCAATAGGCGCCAACAGCACTGGTAACGGAGTTGTAACAAACGGAAGCAAAAGCTCATCGGCGATAACAGCCGATTCTGTGGCACACGCTAAACGCTTACAAGCAGATGAGTTTGCTGGCTACGAAACACAGTCTAGCCTGGTGAGTGCCTGAGAAGCAGCATTTGTTTGAGGATATTTATGCTATTCTGAGTAAAACTATCTTAAATAAATATCTACACTTTTTAATCCTTAAAACTTTAATAACCATTATGCCTTATTGCCCTATTGTATATCTTAGAACATGCTGGAACGTAGCTTTGTTGCCTATTTTTCAACAGATCTTTGCTGAGTATCCCCTTGGAATTAGGCTGATTGTTATGCAAGCAATGAAGTCGCCCCCCCTATAAAGCAAACGAGGACATTTTATTTTAGAATAAGCGGCAATTTTTAATTTTAAGCTGGACCGGACACGACTAAATGCGGCTATATAGATTTTACCTCGGAATGATTTCAAAGATAAGAATTTTGCAGTACACTCATTTACATGTCACAAAAGTTTATGCAAATCAATTTATTTTTTCTCCTAATTCGGAATAATAAGCATTGACGCATTCGACCACTAACTTACTGACTAACTACTCAAGTTAACCGATTCTACCTATCTTGATTAAATCTTCCACTAACTGCACACTCATTCATCTATTTCATAACTCATAACTAATTTGTTCTTTATTTCTTTTCCACTTTGCCCTAATTTCACTCAGCAAGCCTCATTCATATTTTGCCTTCTTTCCATTACTTAATCTCGTCTCTCTTATCAGTAAATTTCTTGTGTAATTGTCTTTTGGCCGAATCTAAGTTCTAAAATACACTCATTCATTAAATTATTTAAATTTAGCCAAAATGTTATTTCATCAGAAGATATAGCACTATTCATATGTAGCTTTCATTATGTTGTAGAATAACAAAACTGTGGAGGCGCATTTCCATATTTAGCAATTTGTTAGATGTTATTTTTATTTAGATACTTACCCATTTTATTGATTATCCAATATACCCATTCTTTCTAACTCGAACTTAGGAATTCCCGTGACTCACTTTAGGCGATCTTTATTCTGTAGTGGAAACTATAGCTTTAAGTGTTCAAATCGCTTCAAATCGCTTCAAATCGCTTCACATAGCTCTATTTGGATATAGAACAAAGCGCAGGCTTTTAGTTAAGTTTTTTTCTTTTTTTAATCTAAGGACGCAAAAATTAGGTAAAATAACGATTTTTGAAGCCAATGCAAGCCAAATTTGTTAAATTTTGTTGATAATTTGCCAATTTCTTGCTGGATCTACTCAAAAAGTTCTTTTTAGACGATTACTGTTAAATTTGGTCTGGGATGCGTCGATGAATAGGATAAGATACGTCCAAAATTGGCAATACTTTTAATTTAGGTTTTGTGGATTTAAAAATTACGCACATTCTTCAATGATTTATTCTTTTTAAAGATATCTCGATCCATACATTGCGATTTATTTGTTATTTTAACTAAGCATTTAATCGGACTTGCGAGATTAATTTAAGTTTTGCTATATGCATTATTTTATTCGTATAGTCACTCGTCTTTTGTGGAACGAAAACGAATCACTCTCTTTTCCCAACTTAAATGTAAAACTGGCTGACTTTTTAGTTTATGCGTTTTGGCTCTTTTATTAGTAATACCTCAATACTTCTCCTTTGTAATATAGTTAAGGGTGTTGCTTTACATGCTACTGAATCTTATGATATCTGAGTAATGTACATAGTCAATTAGCTTATTTACCCATTCGAAAAACGTTTATTATTACCGTTTGGTTTAGAGAATTATCTCCTTGTCCCATGAAAACGGTTAGCGAATATTATATTTCAAAATTATGTTTGCACTCCAGTATTTGTGCAGTGTTTTTGATAATTAAAAAAATAAAGGGGTAGTTTTAAACATATAATATACTAGTAACAGAATTAGATTGCTTAACAAAATTCAGGCGATCAGCTGGGAAAATTTGCGTTTTTAGATCATTTTTATAACTACTTTGATATTTTTATATGTATAATTTTCTACTGCAATTTTATGCTTTGTGCCTTTGCCATAGTAAAGTTAAATAGTGACACTACATATCACGACAAACTTTGATGTAAATTCTCTGTCATAATAACCTATCAGGAGTCGACGGATCTTTTTTATTCTTCCCACTTGCCTAGTATACCCAACTTCTCACTATTCTGGCAAAAATTAAACAACATAGTTTATGAACTTTCTATCGATGCTGTACGAACTGTTTTTTCATAAGGATTAACTGTCTCAGGCTATGAATGGCTATTATGTCGAATTTCAATTTTGTGTGTGGGATTTATCGACCCATTCTTCTTAGATTCAGGACCCGTAGTTCAAGGCTTTCTATGAAATGCACCGTTTAAAAACGCTCTTCACCTGCTAGCATGGTGTCCGCATCACTAGTAAAACTCATTGGGAGAATTAAAAAATTCAAATTTTCTTGCGAACAAACAAAAGACATTAAAAATATGCCAATTGTTACGGCAGGGGGGAATATTGTGTTTCTATTTTAAATGGCGAATATCAGAATTTTATTTGCCTATGTCTGCTTACCAAGTTAAAATACTCTGATGCTATACACAGACTCTCTTCTACTTTTAAGGCAATTCCCATGATATATGAGATGCGCGGTAGTCTCGGAACTCTACTTGTACACGAAAAGTGTACATGCTAGCCAAAGTATCATCAGAACGTAAATCTATGCACCACTTTGTGCTTAAAAATCTTCATATAAAATGGTTGAGTGCCTTTGATGGAAGTGCCAAATAAGGGAATTCACTTTTTATTTAGTTACGAATTGTCTCATACAATGCATTCTTCTCATAACACCGATAGTATAATCCCATCATTTCTAGCCATCATTACAAATACTTAGTTATACATCAGCTAACCCATATACCTTATATGAAAGTAGCGAAGTGATTAGAAACGTTGAGGATGCGACCCAAAAGTAATGCCAGTATATTGGTAAAGTGCTCAATTTTTTTCTGGCCTAGTACTTCAGTATATGATCTAATACATCGAACGAAAATAACAACTTGAACTATCTTCTATTTTGGCTGCAAGTGTATCAAGAAAACTCAGCTCGATGTAGCCCTTCGATGCCTATTATATGGCAGATGAGAGCCTTTTATATATTCACCGGAACAGAACAAGGTTGTCTTTAATGATATGGTAATAAGGACTTGTTATTAAAGCTGACCTAGAGAAATAGACCATCATTTCATGATGAGATTTATTTTATAATCTCTGCATTACACATTTTCACTCGAAATAACAGCAAGTGTAACACTTTTTAATCAAAGCATTTACCAAAAGAATTTCCCTGTGTATGCGAAACAAGTTTTTCAGCTAGATGTATAGACTCTTTAGGGCTAAATATTTAAAGACTTTTGTCCGAATTTCTGAAATAATATCTTATACATATGTCATCCCTACTTGCTATATGAATAAAGCTAAGACTTGCATATGGTTACGATAGCATCCCAGGTTGGCACGATTCGAAGTGTGCAATATGCCTTCGTAATAACCAGCATTGGCCCGATCGTCTAACAACCGGAATCTGTATGCCCGATTAATCCTGCAGCATACTTGATAAGCGCTTCTAGCTGCGACGATATCAAAATAAGCTATTAATCTAAAAGGTTCATTATGCAATACACTTTTCTTTTGCCGTCAGTACGACCTATTTCTATGAAATTATTGTCCAGTGAGATATAATAAACCTTTTCACTTAATTTAGTATATTTTTTACACTATTTTGTTAAGTATGGATTTTTTCTCCGATGATGTTTATCATAGTAAATGCGATACTTAGCACATGGTGAACCAAGTACTTCGTACAATACATCAGCCTTTCATCCACAGCGATTTTCCTTCGGTTTCCGATGAGACCATTTAAAAGATGTGTGAATATCGCTAGACATTCAGTTATATTCAACATATGATGTTTTGGAAAAGCTAGAGGGCTCATTTATTGTAAACACACGACTCCTTTACACGTTTGCATGACCTCTATAGCTTCTAATATATATGCTTCATATAACATAGTCTCAAGAGCTTCAGTCACTCTAGATTGCTTAAGGTGAGAAATAACTGATAGCTAATTTTGTTACAATGAGTAAAGTAGGCTTGACGATGCTATTGAATTTCACATAGACTTGCTTGCCATGAAGTATTCTCCTCGGGGTTGGATTGGACTGTGGTTTCAAGCTCGCTTGGGTCTCATCAGCACCCCTAACGAAAATCACATCTGGGTTGTACAGCGTATAATTTTGATTTGCTCCAACTACGCCACGCTGGACTGAATGCCAGTCATCCACAAGACAGACGCGAATTTCAAGGAATTTGGGGCCTCCTAAAGTGGGATTTTCACTGAATCATTATGTATTTGCCATCACAGTAGATAGCAATATTTGAACTCGCTTTGATTATGACCTTATGACTATCAGTGGATGTCGAAGCTGTAGTCTATCTTGGATAATAATACCAAAGCAAATTTACTGGCATCGTAAGGCCATTGTGGAAAAATTTCCATTATACCTTCATCACCCTAAGCGGTTTAAGGTGACTATGGCTCTTATTCAGGATCTACTGATAATTTCACTAATAAAGTAGCTTAACATAACTTACTGATTCATTTTGGGATAGTGCATCTAAATTTATTTAAAATGTGTACTTAATAGCTAAATTAAATAGGTATGAACTAGTTTTAGCAACTTGGTTAGGATAACAGGAAGGCGACCTTGTGGAACATACTCAATCCTGTATCCTCTGCTATAGTCATGGTAATTTTCTACATCCGCCCATTGGCTTAGTACGTTACCAGACAGTTCGTCTGAAGCTCAGTCGGCCTCATCAGTGAGAGGCACCATCCTTAGTACCGAATTACTATTGTCCTGCAGGACTTCCTGATCCAAAATGGTCTTTCATTCAGAAAGTCATTTCGAAATTTCTGTCAGCTTTCCCCCTCTGTCATACCTTACTTTCTAACTAGTTCCCTCGAGCTTAGCCACAGTATAGACATATTCGAGGATTTGTTTATATGTTTGGCTTCGAACTTATATAACATGTGCGCTAGCTTAACCGAGAG